GGTTGACTTGGGTGCCCGTCGGCAGCAGGTTCGAGAAGCTGGGGTCGGCATCCTTGCCGTGCTCCTTGTGCTCGAAGGGCTCCAGAGGCGGGTACTTTTGCTCGGGGTTCCACGTCGGCAGGTAGTGGGGGTACTGCCCGAAGTCAGCATGTTGAGGAAGTATATCGCATGCGGCGGCTTACCTTGGCCGCCTCGAAGCCGTCGCCGCCCTTGGTCTCCGTCTCCTGGTAGCTGACCGGGGACAGCTCCTTGTAGGGACCCGTCGCCGAGGCGTTGAGCCGGAAGCGCTGGGTCAGGGGCTCCGCCGTGACCGTCTCTGTTGCGGAGGGGGCCATGTTGAGTGATGCAGTTGTCAGGATGTATTACACGGTGGATTAGTTTCTCAACGTGGCTACGGCGTGATTTGGTGCCTGTCCGAGCCCGCTGCAATGCCACAGTCAACTTATATAGGCATGCGAGCTCTCGACCCGATCACCGGGCCGCATCTCTGTCGGCTCGACGCGGGGTCACGGATGACATGCTCGCGGCGAGGGATGGCGTTGGCTCATGGCGATACATGCATCCGCCGACTGACTGGGCGAAACGAACCACGGATGGATCCCCCCCTTTCTCGATGGGCTCGCGAACGGTCGTGGTAGGTGGGTGCCAGTATACTGCTGTGCCATGACGCATTCCGAGTCTCGTTTAATGGGACGACGGTCGGACTGTTTCCCCCCCTCCTTCGGTTGTCGCGGGCGGCGCCCCATCGGGCATGGTGAGGGATGGCGCGATATCCCGTGAATGAAGAGGCGGCGCGTGAGCTGTTGATGTGGCCATGTTGCTATGTGGCGGGCGATCACGCAATGGGGATCCTTTGTAAGCTTTCCCCGCATCGAGTGAGGTCGGAGGAGGTCCGATGTGGTTTCGCTTTGCTGTTTGGGTTGAATGGTGGATGTGGGTGGCGATGCGATGGCTGGATGTACTTCATAGTGGCTCAAAGTTGGCGAGAACCTCCGAAGAGGAGACACCAGGCCGCCAAGACGAAGCCAGCTGATGATCATCGTGCTAGTACCATGTTCACGAATAAAGCCCAGCACGCCATTCTGCAGCACAGCCTCGCCCACCTGCTGTGGACGCCATCCTCCGTCTGTTCGGGATTTGAAAGAGGGGTGCCTAGCCGAGACCGGCGCGGGATGCCCCGGGGGACGCCAGAGCATGGACCCCCGGGCTCATGGTGAGGTCATGTCCTGATCGGGCGTTGGACGGGGTGGGGTCCGGGCATGAGGTCCGGATTGAGGTCCGGGCATGAGGTCCGGCCGGCTGCGGGTACGCTTTCTTCGGGGTGGTGGGTGTGCGAGGATGTGAAGCATGTCGACTGCGTCGGGACGGCCCTGGACACTGAGACGGCTGGCTGTCGGTGGGAGGGCCTCGCAAAAAGTTCGTTCTACTTGCAGGCATGCTGCAATCTCCACTGATCAGTTGAGTTGGAGGAGCATCATTGTAGGTCCAGCACTGGAAGTTGAGTTTTGGAAATCTGTCGTCAAGACCGCCCTCAACAGCAACCCCTCTTTCGACCATCGACTTCGCCTTCCCTACTCCATTCCCCTGAAGGTGTCGCACGATGGCTCCAGTCAGCAGTCTGGCATCACGGAATCCTCGGCGGCCGCCCCTGTCGCGTGCAGCCCATCCTGGCACGCAGGCGAGATAAGGTTCTGCCGGTGAAATGAGGTCGGCGAGCAGCAAAAGGTGGACGTCCGTGCTTCTGCTTCGTCATCTCTGTCATTCCATCCTATCTCTCGCAACGCTTCATCGCCTCGACGTCCATGACAGAAGCACATCACACATCACACATCACACATCACACATCATGTCCCCCTTCCCCCTGGGCCAAGCCCCCAAGATTGTGCCAACGCTGCCGACCCCGACGCTGCCGCCGAGCGCCCTGCCGAGCTTCACCGTCATCTGCTCCACCACCATCGCAGCGCCGCCGCTCGCCGTCCTCGCCAAGCTCCTCGACACGACGACCTGGCCGGCCTGGAACACCTTCTGCAAGTCCGCCACCGTGACCCACGCGCCGGCCGCCGCCGACGTCGCGCCCCTCAACGCGCCCGAGCTGCAGGCCCTCGCCGTCGGCCGCCCGGGGTACCTGTACCCGGGGGTGCGGGTGACGTTCGCGGCGTACATGACGGCCGACGCCGCGGCGCCGAACCGGCCGCGCGAGGTCGTCACGGCGCTCGAGGCGTTTGAGCGCGACGGCGACGGGCGCAGGGGGTATCGCGTCGCGTGGCGGTTCGAGAGCATGCCGGACGTCGTGCTTCACGCCGAGCGGGTGCAGGAGCTCGTCGAGGTTGTGGGCGAGGACGGCGTCGTCGTCGCGACCGAGTATTACAGCTGGGAGACGTTTCGCGGGCTGCTGGCGCCCGTGCTGAAGTGGTCCAAGCAGGGCGAGCTGCGTGATGGGTTTGCGCGGTGGATGGGCAGTCTGAAGGCTGTGGCCGAGGGGGGCGAGCATGATGAGCATGATGTGGCGCGTTTGCAGACTGGTGGTGTGTAAGTGGCATGGTCAGGTCGATGCATCGTGATTTCGGTCCATCATTACCACTCATATACAAGTACTGCTACAAAACCAAAGTTCGAACAGTTTTAACCAACATGATGCGGATGCGCCCTTCGCCAAAACCAAGTCCCACCAAAATCCAGCAAATCGTGCCATGACGACGCCGCTTCCATGGTCCATGACTATGTCGCTGCCATGGTTCACGTCGACGTCGCCGTCATGGGTCATGTCAAGCACATCGACCTCCCACGGCGAAAGCGTCGGCTCATAGTCGGTGGAGGGGCTGGGGGACTGTCGGTGGCTCATGCTCATGCTCATGCTCGTTCGTTCACTGGCCGCGAGGAGAGATATCCATGCTGCGTCTTGACGCGGGGAACGAGGATGCAACAGTATGAACGGGTCGCCTTGACGCTGCGAGCCGGGAGCCAGGCTGAGAATTGAATGTTGGTCATCAGTTGAGGGCCATAGGTTGAAGTCAATCAGAATGAAGCCCCTCACTGGCAGCTGACGACGGACACAACGAGGTGGGGAAAGTGTGCATTCATCGCCCCACAGCATCGATCGCTCTTGCCAGCGTGCGAGTCATGCTCCTGCTCCTTCTCCTCCTCTTCCTCTGCCTCCTGCCTCCCCCATGGCCGTGTCCCGCTGCCTCTTGCCTCCTGCTGCCTCTGTTCCTGCCTGTCTCTGCCTCTGTTTCTGCCTGTCTCTGTCTCTGTCTCCTGCCTGCCTCTGCCTCCTGTGAAGAAGTGACTCGACAGCTCAGCCGCGCAACGCGAGCATGCTGCATCTAACCCCATACATATGAACATCTACACTTAGCTACCACCTAACGAGGTAAGGTAAGGTAGGTACAGGTAGCATCATGCTCATGCTTCAGCTTCATCTATTTGACCTCGGCATACGCCTGCAGCCCGTCGTGCAACCGTCCAAAGATGCCGCCATGCCACCCCCGCACCTGCTGCCACTCCTCTGCCGGCAGCGTCACGTCGAACATGCGCAGCCAGGCGCCGACGATAAAGTCAGCATAGCTCGCGCGCGCCCCCAGCAGAAACGGCCCCGCCGCGTCGCGCCCGTAGAGCACCGCCAGCGGCGCGAGCGTCGCCTCGAACGACGCGAGCATGCGCGCCCTGTCGTCGCCGCGCAGCGCGAAATCCTCCCACGCCGTCATGTACGGCCGCGCGCGGTCGACAAAGATGGCCTTGGTCGCCGCCTCGTTGGCCGGGTCGAATGGGAACCCGACCGTCGTGAGCTGCGTGTGCGCCGTGAAGGCGCCGTCGACGTGGACGTTGAACGTTGCGTACGCCGGGTACGGGCTGTCGCGCACGGCCGACAGCGGCACGAGCAGGCCCTCGGCCGGGTCGAAGGCGTAGTCGAGAGGCTGGTCGGGGAAGAGGTCGCCGTCGCCTGCTGACGGGTACGTCTGCTGCAGGTAGACGGCTATGTCGAGCGAGTCGCCGAGCGTCGTGCCCGTCGACGCGTCCTCGATGATGGGCAGCGTGAAGAAGTCGCTGCCGTCGGCGAACTTGCGTGTCGGCGCCACCTGGAGCGTCGTTCGCAGGTTGACAATGTCGGGCAGCGCCACCCACTTGGTCGTGTGCGCCAGCGCCTTGAAGTTGAGCGCGAACCGCGTCTTCCACGGGTTCGGCGAGCAGCAGTTCTTTGCGGCGGGGGGGCGCAGGCCGATGTCGTAGAACGTGATGGGCGCGGACATTGCGTGCTGCTGCTGCTGGTGCTGCTGCTGCTGCTGCTGCTGGTGCTGTTGCTGCTGCTGCTGCTGGTGCTGTTGCTGGTGCTCTTGCTGCTGCTGACGGCGTTGAGCAGTGTGTAACCTGCTGCTGACAGTACTAAGCAGTATGTGATCTCTTGCAACTGATGTTGTCGTTGGGGAAGGGAATGGCGTAATACCTTGCACTCGCTGTGCGTGGCCTATTGCTTATTTATGTCTCCTCCTCGTCCCCTCAGTCGAAACATCTTGATCGGCTGCCCCGCACTTGTAGGGCAGGCAAAAGCAATGCTTCACGGCACGCCGCGCCCTCTCGACTCCACATCGTGTCTGACGGCTTGAGACCTCGTGAAGCCGTGCATCGTCGCGCATTGGACTCTGCATGCGCAGCTTGGGTGGCTCCCGCGAGCCATATCTTGAACCGCCGAAACGCGCACACGTATCAACTCTGTACCTAGGTACCAGCACAGCTCGTGTGGGTCGTGGCGCAGCGTGAGGCACAACCTTGCAGAGCGCTTCTCACGGCTCGCTAGCCTCCTGAAGAGTAACACTAGCTAGCTTGCCATTGGCAGTTTGAGTTGCCTGCAAATACTTGCTGTGAAGTGAGGGGTGCTTACGTGCAGCTGGGCGTGCAGCTGGGCGTGCAGCGGGGCATGCACCTGGGGGCTCAGCCTGCGCCGTATCGAGTCAGTCTACGGCCTGCTTCCAGGCGCCTTGCCCTAGCAGGTCGTTGCTTGAGACAAGAGCTCTCGGAACACGATACACCATGATGAACATGGGGAATGGCGTTGAACAGGGCTGAACGTAGTCTGCCTGACAGCCGTCTCCTAAGCGATGTCAAGTGTTGGTCTGTCGACGTCATGCGATGAAGTACTAGCAGCAAACATCTTTCACACACGGGTTGAAGAGCAAGAAAATCGATACAATGTTCTGGATTTACGGCTGCAACTTTTGGAATAATCATCGACTTGGCGATGGGAGGCGGACCCCCATCCCTGTTTCACATCGAGTTCGCGAAAGGAACCCCCCCTACGGAAAGCAACATCTGGTATCAAAGACATCTCCTAGACAGTGGAAGGATCTCCAGCAATGCTAATAACATGTAGCTCAGAAAGTTGGCGTGAAAATGGCACAATGCATGCCGCTCTGATATTCCTCAGACCTTCATAATAGGGGTGGGCTCGAAAGCTCCTTACCTATCATAGGCTGCCATTTATCTGACAAGTAGAGACCAAAAGATCATAGTATAGGCGGTTCATCAGTCAATTGTAGATTGTCGTCCAGGCGTCACAATTTTGACAAGACCCGATCTGCTACCTCATATGAAGGCCCTCATCCTTGGAGCCCAGTCCCGCTTGCCACCTCATGAAGCCATCACAAGCGAGCATTGGCTGCAGACTTCGCCTCAGCACTCGGAGGATTGATGCCTTTTTATAGACACGAGCTTAAAGAAAATGACAAGAACGGTTTGCACAGCTTCCAAGCTCATGCTTATTTCTCATCTTGGCTCCTGGTACCCTCAAAGTCCAACCCATTGCCATCGTGCAATGTAAGACGATTTTTCAAGCAACGATTGACACGCTCTGCAAGGTCACGGTGGAGGCACACTAATATAGGCAGAAAACAAATCATGTCTCAATTCAACGTCAATAGCGTGATTCGCGCTGTCCCGCCCCTAACACCACTCCCCTGCGCCTCTACCTCTACCTCTACGCCCACCCACCACCAGCGCTATGCACACAAGATGCTCGCACAAATGTTCATGGTCAAAGGTATGTACAAAAAAGGCGAAACGTGGCAGCCGGAACCAGAATACAAAAAAAAAAAAAAAAAAAAAAAAAAAAAACCAAGCAAAGACAGCCGCCGACCCTACTCGTTGATGCGGTGCTGCCAGACCTCCTGCTCGGCGCGCGCGCTGTACGTGCTGGCGCCGAGGAGGGCCTGCATCTGCGTGACGCCGGCGAATATGGTCTGGCGGGCGACGAACCAGCGGATGCCCTCGTGGCAGGGGGGGCTCGTGAGAGAGCCCTGGTAGGTCCAGAACTCGTTGAAGTGGGCGACGCTGTCGAGGGCGAGGTTGAGGTTGAGCGTGGCCTTGACCTGCTTGCCCGTCTCCCGGAAGCCGATCATGGGCGGCAGCTGCGCGAAGAAGGCGTCGTCTCCCGTGCCGGGGTCGACGCGGAAGGCGAGCACGGCGGCCTCGTGGCCCGCGGCGTCGACGTGCACAAAGTGGATCTCCGACTTGGACCGCCGCCCGCTGATCGTGTGGTCGGCTGGCGAGTGGATGTGCCAGCCGACCATGTAGACCGTCTTGTTGTCGTACGTGAACGACGGGTTGCCCGTGAAGACGCCCTCGGGGTGCGTGATGGTGAAGGCCGGCCCGTAGCCCCAGTTGAAGAAATTGCCCGTCACGTTGGTCGGGTAGTTGAACGTCGGTCGGTGGTTTTGAGACAGGCCGTTGCTGAGGCTCAGCGCGATCGGCGACTGCTGCGTGCCCGTCTGGCAGAGGGTGTAGTCTGGGTGAGCGTGTTAGTATCGGAGCTGCGCATCCCCGAGAAGGGAGTTCACATACTTTTGTTGATGCGGCCCCAGTTGAAGGATGCCTCGTAGGCCCAGTCGGTGGGCGGCGGCGGCGCACCATCTTGGCGCTTCATGACACCCATGGGCGCGCTGTTCTCATGGCCGGGACAGGCCAACACGGTCGAGGCAGCTGCCAAGGCGCCGAGAATCGAGAACTTCATGGTGGAGGAGTACGATGCTGCTTGTGGGAGTTGGAATGATAGACAAAAAGCCAAGACCTTGAGGCGCTGATCAGGTGTTTCAAAGCTGAGATGTGATGAAGGATGGGTGAGGACTGCTGTGCCGAGTGAGACTGTTGCAGGTCGGTAGAGCGAGGATCGTCGCTCGTCTTATAGCATCGTCCTCGTGGGCAAGGATGAGGTGCCATCACGATACAGGCCCCCTTGTCCTTCATCTCCATTGCCTGCCGTATCAGCGAAATGGGGAGCAGCGACAAACGTCACGCACGAGGCGGTCGCGCGCGCGCGCAAGACGACCTGTTCGGTCTTGGCAGCATAAACTCCACCCCTGGGCGATCTGTCGACTTGTGTCCTTGGCTCCTCATCCCATGTTACAGGCAAAGAGCAGCACGGGCGACGGAGCTTCAGCACAGCGCTCTCTATGATCCCCGCCGACCCGGCAAATTCCATGGTGGTCTGGCTGTCAATCCAATCTGCAATGCCCAACATCGCGGACCCCGGACAACTGGCACCACAGAGTACCTAGCGCGTCAGCTGTGCGGTTCTGAACCGTCGGGTTCTTCGAGTGAAAAGGGCTGTGGGGGAGCCAATAGCACATGGGCTCGGCACCTGTCAGACTAGGGGCATCCTTGGATCAGCGGTCTAGGATACGACTTGACGACTAGCGGGGCGGCAGTCGAGGTGGCAGTGTAGTGGGAATGGGCTCACTTTGAGTCTGTCCACTACCGCAGGGTCTTGGCGCTGATGTTCTCTGCACTGCCCCTCGTTCGTTTTGTCCCTGTGGCCCTTGGCCTTGAGCGGTGTTCAGGTGTTGCATGGCGACTTGAGCCTCCATTTTCCCCTCACATTTGTGGCCGACTCGAGATGATTACGTCTTGGCACCAATGCCGTGCCAAGAGACCTTCACTGTTGATTCCTGGCTGCCTAGGCCCCGGCAGATGATTGTACGCCCGCTGTGCTTTGTCGCTTGCTGCGACGGACCCGTGATTGAGGCAGGGGAAAAGGCTCTCTGGCTGTATGCCTGGTCTTGGCGACACTGCTGCTGACGACGACGACGACGACCATGACACTTAAAGCACTACTTGTCGGAGTCTTCCGTCGGCAGCCGCAGTGATGCCAGCCTTTGACCAACAGAGTGCCCAATTGACGGAATGCCCTTGGGTTAGTTAGTTTGTCGCGCACATTTCCATCCCCAAGCACAGACAGGCTCTTGAGCGTAAACGACCAATCGCAAACATGTCGCGCTGGGTCGTCCTCAATTTCGCAGAGCATGAAACGAACCAAGGCCTCGACACGTTCATTACAGATAGAGTGGACGAACTGATTAGGGCGCCAGCTACCGTTGTTTTGGGACGAGGCACGGTTCTGCGAATCTTCTATCTTTGGGCCACACCCTGACTCGTCGTCATGCGTATATCCCCGACGGAGGTGGAGGAATTGTCATCTGCCTTCATCAATTTAGCTTTTCGGGGCCTTCTTTTTGCAATGCTCATTCATCTGCGCCTCAATGGCGCTGCGAAATCAAGCTGCCCACGTGTGGTTTTTTTCAACCACCCTGCCACCGTACTGACAGTTGCGTACTCGTTGTTGCTTGCCAAGCAATGAGCGGCCTTTTTTTTCTTTTTTGCTTTGCACGTGAGCAAGCACGCCGGTCTCTGTGCGGGCGTTCTCAACGCTGTACTGCCAGCGGGGGTGGGCTTGTGTTTGGCCGACTCCGCGCCCATCGCTCACTTCTGCGTTTCGAGTCCGAGGTTCGGTGAAGGTTGGCCGGAACCCTGGCGCAAAAGGGTTTGACTGTTTCGACTTCAACCGCGACTGCGACCGCAGCAGGCGGAGGCAAGCTAGGGGTGAGCCTTGGTCGTCCGAGACGGAATCGTAGGTCCGGCACCAAGGTTTCGACAGAAAGGACAATTTGGCTTTTGCTGCATTCAAGGTGACTCTCTATCGCATGATGCTGACGTACGCAGACACAATTTGGGAGCCCCGTGATGAGATTAGGTAGTCGAGATACAGTTCAAGATAAGGCTCAATTATCAACTGTCGCATCCTTTGAAGACTTCCTAAGCTCGTGTGCAACAGGCAGTGTGTACCCGCGAGCATGGAGCCTCTCAGGGCTTCTGGTGCACAGGCCGTTGACTCCGCAGCTTCGTCTGCATGCTTCCCAGAAGGCAGGGCACAATTGAAGAGACCGCAGTGAGAGTGTCTTCGGCGTCATAAGAAGCGGTCGGAGAGATGCCACCACTGAGGTCGATCCGCAGGCGAAATCCTCAAAATATGCCATAGTATCAGTGCTCTCACACACTTCGTTCGATATCGCTGGCGGTGTCCAAAGATGGATCATTCCAAGGCGTATTCGCGAATATACTTCTGCAGCTTGTCGTATCTCTTGCCATGTTGCCTTCGCCAATTATGCTTCGGCTGGCCTTGGACAATGTCCACATGCCAGTTTCACACAGTCCCTTGCATGCTTGCGCGTCGCTGCATTGAATTCAATTGACAGGTCTATATGGTGTTATTTGGCCGTTGCACTGGATCTTTGGCATCATGAAGATTGTCCAAAAGAGAAATATTGCCACAAGAAACGATACTTGCCGTCTTCGCGTTTGCTTCAGCCAAGAAGTTGCTTCTCTGTCAGGCGAGACATGCGTTGCGTGTCGTGACACTGCGCCTCATCGAGCTTCGTCTTGTTCAAATGTCGAAAGTGATAGTATGTCGACCGAAGGCTGGATAAAAGGCAATACAAGACACGCCGACGGACTGAGATATCTGAAATGAAAAGCTGACCGGTGATGAGAGGTAAATCGTGTAAAAGCGTGTCCCGATGGCATGATGGGAGCCCATGGCGAACCTCAAGGCGGCCTCAAGGTGAGGTGGACTGCATGCATAAAAGGCCTTCCGTGAGAGGTGAGCACCATCGATCACGGTCTTTGAGAATCTGAAATCGCTGTAGACGATGGCTGCAACCGCAAATGTCAGAGCTCAGGTATGTCTCTGCGCTCTACCGGCGGCTCACGGCGGAGTCGACCCTGCGAGGTATCCCTTCATCCTGCCGACATTGTTGCAAAGACACACGGTATATGGTGAGACAGGCGGGCCACGCAGGCGAGCCGAGATGCCGTAGCCAGATGCCGTACTACGAGCTGATGTAGTACCCATACAACTCGAAAAGTGATGTGCATGAAACTTCGCTGCCGCTGAGCTGGGAATGATCGGTACTCGTGGTACTGTGCATGGGACTCTACTCGAATAGTAATCAATCCGGTTGGCGTCAGCTTCCTTTGGTACTCTGCTGACAACGAAAGCTTAACCAATTTGGCTTGTAAAGTCAATTGCCGCATCCATTCGACCAACGTCGTAGGAGCAAGTACATCGCTAAACAGCCTTTCACGTGCTGGTTGTAGAAGAACAAGCTGGAGGGAGACTGGGTGACGAAGATCGTCTCCCAATCCATCTTTATCTGGGGATTCTACGGGGGCCTCGGCTTCCATACAAAACCTCCGGCCAGACATGCTCCGAAAACCTTAAATTGCATCCGGATGACATTTCTTTCCTGATGAAGAACCGAGAGCGTGCGGAGGGAAGCAATCTGTTTCCTGCCGATCCGGCGCCAAATTTCATCCGCAGCGCAAAGGCTGAGTTGGTTTCGGAGGCTCGACGGTCTCCGGGGCTTGCCATAACTTCCCACGAAGATAGTCTCCAACAAGAGCGCATGTATCCTCAGCAACTGTCCCTACTGGTCAAGCCTCACATACCTCCCTCTACACGCTGACAAAAAGGTCACAGCATGAGAGTTGACGGAGACCATAACTCCACTTCTACGGCGTGTTGAAAACTCCGTTGATCTGCACTCGTCGAAAACCTAAAGCACTTTAAGCTCGAGTCCAATGCTCGAACATGCATGATCATGCGCTCACGGTAATTGGCGTACCCCATCGAATTACGAAGGTCCGTGTCTCGGGGTTGCATTCGAAAAGTAAAAGGCGGCCTCGGCCGGGATATGGTACCCAAGATGAGTTAGTGCGGTTGCCACACGGGCTCGAGGACCCGGGGAACCGGGGCGCCGAGACTCCCGGAGACCCCGGTCTCTTGGGGGTCGTCGGGGCATGGTGCGTAGATCTGCTGCCCTGCAGCGGCAGTGGGCCGGAGGACAGGGCCTAGAAGAGTATGGTTCCTTTGCTCATTGGCAGCCGAGGGGTGAGTTCAAGGTTTGGGTTTGGGGCATGTTGTACCCCTAATACTCTTAATGATTACATGATCCCTGATGCAAGGTTCCTGGGCACATGTCCTGTAACATGAGCAAGGTCTAGAGGCAAGATCTGAGTGAAGACTGGTGGGCCAGAACAGAGTATCGAAAGCCTGGATTGGTGGGCTTGCGCAGCTTGAACGGGCGTTCATCACACAAATGGTGCCACACAGTCGGCTATTCACATCACTTGATCTCAAGTGTGATGGTGAGGGGGCCTTTATCTCTCCAGGATCAATGTCGATCCATAATGGCCGCCACAGCAAGAACACCTCGACGCAATATCTGCCGTCGAGAAACACCTCAAGTCAAAGCCCTCGGCGCCGAGCTATCCAATACATCTCGGCCGATGAGAGGAACTTGCCTGAAGGATAGCCCAGAGCATACAAAGACACATCGAAGGATTCATGGCTTGAGACTACCGGCGAGCATAAAGTTCGTGGGGAAACATTAGGCTACCAGCCCCATGTCCACGCTCGCCCGTCCGGAACGAGCCCTCGCGCCACGTTGCCACCAGCCCACCATCGCCACGAACCAGCTAGGTGCCGAGCGAGCTGCACGGCATCAGCCCAGTCCTCTTGAAGGCCCTCGCTGCCGAGTCGGGCCCTGTTGGCCCCTCACAAGCAAGCGAGTCCAGCCGCTCGGCGGCCCGCCGTGGCCCATGTTCCCAGCATGGCGGGCGTCCCGAAGGTGGAGATCAAGGGTTCACGGTGGCACATGGTACTCCTCCCTGGGAGGGGTGGTGAGGGCTCAATCACGACGGACACGATCGAAAAGGGCGAGATCGGCAGAAATCACCTAGCACAGGGTTGGTAGTCAGCTGGGCGAGGCGCCAGGGCTGAAGGGCATGAAGCGATGTAAAATGGCAGGTTCCAGTCCTCGGCTAGTCGGAAGATTGGATGGACAAGTTGCTGTACCATGCTGCGAGTGCATTTCCTCTTTCGACTGTGCAGAGATGTGCATGACTCTGTCAGTTCACACTACTTGGCGCTTGCCTATGTGTCAGTCAGCAATTACACAATGTCAACATGTGTGAGTGCCAAGAAGTTTAAGAAGTGACAACAATTCTCCACTGAGCCATCGCCATGTCGATCATGGGCCTCGAATCATGGAGGCGTTTGTACCCTGGCCCAAGACAGTCAGAGTGTGAAGGAAGGGAAGGAAAGAAAAGGCGAGTGAGAATAAAGCCTCGGCGGACGCAAGGCACATGGTTGTGCCCCCTCCACACAGCTGTCCTGCAAGCCACATTCTGCAAGCGTCAGACCCAAGACTCCAACGTTCCACTCTTCGCTAAGCTCATTCGGCCCAATATGGCGTCCGCTCCGGAGGGGTGACCGGACCGCCGAATGTCGGACATGGACAAACGGCACCAAGAGCGGATCAGATAATCTGTCTTGGCGAGGCTAGCCCGGATGACCAGACCAGATTAGGCACGTGTAGCGCCAACCCACTCACAAGCCGGCGGAACTCGTACAAAACACGAGGCGCGCCTTGTGCAGGGTTCCCTGGTAAGGAAGGTGGTTTTCGCGATCTGATAACTCTGTCGAGCGGGTAATTTTCACGCCCACCTTTGCCGACATGAAGAAGAAGGGGTGGGGAGGAAACCCGAGAAACCCACCATTCTTGGTAGGCCGCTTGGCGGGCTCTTGGTTTGATAGGGCTTTGCCGCTGGGCTACCTCGGCCGCCGCACTCCGCGATGGCGCACCCGCTTGTGCTCGCCCTGTTCCATGGTGGCGTTCTTCAGTCCCGACGGTTGCGCCCAGACCAGAACCCAGACTAGCAGGAAGAAGCGAGGGAGGGTACGATGAGCAAAGGCCAAGGAGGAAGTCGTGGCGAGAAAGGAGGGGTCTGGCTTGCTTCCCTTGCTTGAGGTGAAAGATTCGGATCAGACGGGAGGCGGATGTGCGGAGCTGAATGAGGCGGTTAGGTTGAGGTCGACGGTATTTAGTCGTCTACCCGCCCGCGTGGTTGAGGTTGAGACAGCGTCGGACGAACTCCTCTTCAGCTGAGACCCTACACGCATACCCAACCCATCGCCTTGCCGATCACCTCGCATTCAACCCACATCGCAGTCGCACCACAAAAAAAAGCATACCTCACTGTCAGCGAGCGTTTCACAATCGGCCCACCATGAGCTACGCCATCCTCCCCGCGTTGATCCCCGACATCGAGAAGGTGTACGATGCCTACTTCTCGGCCTTCAAGGGCGACCTGATGGGTGACATTATGGTCAAGCTTCTGTTCCCCGGTGGTGTCGAGGGCGAGGAGTTCCGCAAGGCCCACGCTGCTGGCACCCTGGCGTGGTGGCACCAGAGCAAGGTGCAGTACACATACAAGTGCGTCGACACGGAGACTGGCGAGATTGTCGGCATGGCACTTGGCGATATCTACCTGAACGAGAGGACCGAGGAGGAGAGGGCCTTCCAGGGCGTGGGCTGGCTTGAGGGCGAGCAGCGCGAGAAGGCTGAGGCTGTGCTGAAGCCTCTGCACGATGCGCGTGAGAAGCTGTTTGGTGGACGCAAGTACGTCTGTAAGTCATGATTTTTTCCTTCCGTTTCCTGTCACCCATGACAGTGAAGGTCGATGCTGACAGCTGCAGATGTCCATGTGATTGCGATCGACCCCAAGTTCCAGGGCCGCAAGGCGGGCGCGCTGTGGTGCCAGTGGGGCAAGCAGCTGAGCGACAGCCTTGGGCTGCCTCTGTACTTTGAGGCCTCGCCTTCGACCTACAAGCTGTACGAGAAGATGGGCTACGAGACGCTCGAGGACAAGATTGTGCACAAGGCGGCCGTCTTTGGCACGCCCAAGGACATTGAGGTGCCCCTCATGGTCAATATGCCCGTGGCGGCGGCAGGCCTCACCTTCAAGGAGTGGCGCGCAGCGGACTACCCTTCTTTCAGCGACGTGAGGAAGGCCAAGGCGGCGGCGACGGCGGCGGCTGCTGTTGGTGCCCCTGTCGTCGTTGCCGCTGCGGCTGCAGACAAGACCGAGGCCAAGGTGGCCGAGGTGGCGGTCGAGGTGAAGGAGGTTGTCGCTTAGGCGAAGAGGCAGGTGGATATGGCGGAGCGTGTAGCTGACTCGATGATTCCCACGGCCTATGAAGAAGTAATTAATGTCATGATGTTCTACCACCCCTGTAAGCCTTGTGCATATGAAGTTTTCGTCATAACCAGCTTCCAAGTTGCATGGCACTGATGATCGCCTGCCGGACGATCCGATGCCTGGGCTTTTACTGCCAGTATCACACCTTGAAAGATAACTTCGTCGACTCATCGGAGAGCCGGAGAGCAATAATTGTGCCGTGGCCTCGGCTTGACGCGGGCATCCTGGAAGGCCTAGCTTCGGCCGAGGGGCCAACGCACAGGCGCCTCAGCTGGAGGCGAAGAGCAAGAAAAGAAAAACCGCGCGAAAATCACGCGAGAATTGACAAAAAGAGCAAGACGAGAAGGGGTGGGAGGGGGGCCTTGGATGCACTAGGGTGGAAAAAGGCAGAGGGAAAAAACGGCTTCCAGGGGTTGTCGTCTGCGAAGTTCGGCGAGCAGACCAATGGCAGTGGACCCTGTCAGAAGCCAATTCCCGGGTGGGGTGGCGCTGCATTGTGTGGCTTTGATCTAGCCATCTAATCTGATCATCTGATAAGCATCTGATAAGTCCAACCTGGCTAAGGTACCTTCCTAAGGTACCTCCCTAAGGTACCTACCTAAGGTACCTACCTAGGGACCAAGGGAAGGGGGGGAGGGGCCCTCCTTCCCCTGCCCCTGCGGCTCCCGGGTGCGCCTGCCTCGCGAGCTTGGCTCGCAGCTTGCCTAGCTCCTGCCTGTTGCCTGTTGTTGCTGTGTCGCTGCTGCTGTTGTTTCCCGTCTTTGGCTGGAGCTATTACCGAGTGCTCCTGCTTTTCTGAGCAAATAGCCGACTCAGCATATTTTTTTTCCTTCCTTCTCCATTTGGTTGTGACCCTTACTTCCACACCTGTGATCATCCTTGGCGAGATCATCCGTTCCTTGACCACCTGCTCACCACCCATCGCCCTGTCTCTTCACCAAGTGACACCTCTTGTGTCACCTCACTCCACACCATGGCCGCCGTCACCAGCGTCAAGAAGGGCGTCCTGTTCCTTCGCCTCGTCTATATCGCCATCGCTGCCCTCCTCGAACACCAGAAGCGCACATGGGCCGCTGGTCGTCTTCAGAGCCCTTCGACCTCCTCCAAAGATGTCGAAAATGAGGCCGAGCCCGAGAACATTGTCATTGTCGGGGCCTCCTTTGCCGGCTACCACGCTGCCCGTCTCATCGCTACCAGTCTCCCCCTCAACGGCCGCTACCGTATCGTCATAATTGAGCCCAAGCACCACTACCAGTTCACTTGGACTCTGCCCCGTTTCTGCGTCATTGAGGGTCACGAGGAGAAGACGTTCATCCCCCTGGGTCCCTACATCCCCGCCCCGGCCAAAGAGTTCGTTCGCTGGGTCCACGGCACCGCCGCCAGCATCAACCGCCAGACGGTCACCATTGAGGAAACGGGCGAGACCATCCCCTACAGCTACCTCGTCATTGCTACCGGCGCTGGCGTCGGTCTCACGCTGCCCTCGCGCGTCGGTGCCGTTGGCAAGAAGGAGGGCGCTCAGCTACTGCGTGACATGCAACAGCGCATCAAGGCTTCCAAGAACCTCGTCGTCGTCGGAGGTGGCGCCGCCGGTGTCGAGCTCGCTACCGATGCGAAGCAGCTCTACCCCGAAAAGAAGGTCACGCTCGTACACTCGCGCAGTGCCGTCATGCACCGTTTCGGCCCCGAGCTGCAGATCGCATCACTCAAGGCTATGCAGGAGATGGGCATCGACGTCCTGCTGGAGGAGCGGACTGAGAGCGAGGACGTCAGTTCCGGGTTCGTGACATTGCGTTCGGGAAAGCAAGTCGAGTGCGACTTTTGTGTGAGTGATCCTGAGTTTCTGTGTTGGTTTGTTCGCAGTTTCTAACCTTGCCCCCAGGTCAGCGCCGTCGGCCAGAAGCCTTCGTCAGGTCTGCTCAAGGACCTGGCCCCCAACGCCATCACCCCTTCCGGCCACATCCGCGTCAAGCCGACAATGCAGATTGACGACGACACTCTCCCCAACATTTACGCCTGCGGTGACGTTATTGAGTTTGGGGTTAAAAACGCCAATGCCCGCGCAGCCATGAAGCAGGCCATGTATGCAGCAGACAACGTGACGCTCGCCATCCGCGGCCAGCCGCCCAAGCACAAGTACAAGGTCAACTTCATGGACGGCGTCATCAAGCTGACCCTCGGTCTCGTACGTCATCAACGAACACACCTTTCTGCTATGACCCTCGAAAGCACGACTGACACGAAGACAGGACAAATCTATCACACATTTTGGCGACGGCAAGACCGAGCTTCTTTTCCACAAGCAGGAAACGGATGAGACCCTCATGGTGGCCGATGTTTGGCGATTTATGGGCGCCACACCATACGAGGACGACGATGACAAGGGTAAGCCCGCGGGGGCCGAGTCGACAGCCGACAAGACGAGAGAAATCACGAATGACCTCCCTTAGGTGGGGAGATGTTTCGAGCGTCGTTTTAGCATGATATTGACTAGACTTAATGGCTGGCAGCCGCATTATTTACTTGGGGGCCTAGACACGTTGAGTGTGCGAGGGTGCAAGGGAAATACACCCGTCATTTTCGGAACACGACCGTTCAAAAATCCCTGCCATTTGCAAACTCAGCGACATGCTCCGGTGACCACCTAATGTTTCAGCCCATGTTTGGACAAGGCCATCAACAGAAGAGCACAGGGCATTCAATATGACAGATCCTAATCTCACAATATGTATTCAACCCTACTTCCAATATGTACCACTCAGACCTACCACGCTCACAACGAAGTACCCTGCCCATCCATTCCGTTGCATCCACCACGACCGTTCTCCAACCCCTCACGGCTTACCAAGCCTAACTAGGACATCTTCTTGTAGATTGACGTGCAGACGACGTGCAGCCCTCACAGGCCGAACCACCGCAGGTCAAGTCCGACATTGACAGGCACGGTATGCCCCACCCCCTGCGCCGAGTAGCCGACAAGCTGTGTGCCGTCGCCGTACACAATCTGCGTGTACCCGCTCTGCGGCGTGTTGGTGTTGTTCCGCGTCAACGAAAGCCCCTTGACGGCAGCCCACTGCCGCAGCTGCTGGTCGAGGTTGGGGATGCGCACGAGCGTGTCGGCCGTGCCGTGCAGCGTCTGGAAGCGCGGGTACGCGCCCGCGTACCCGGGGAACATGTTGCGCGCGCGCGCCGCCCACGCCTGGTCCGACAGGGCGATCTGGCCGTTGGCGCACGTTGGGTTGGCGCTGATGGGGCTGCTGCCGGGCGAGCCGGCGAGGCAGCCGGCGGCGACGCCCGAGTAGCACGACGCCGCGGCGACGAGGTCCGGGTACGCGGCGCTCATGACGTTGGTCATCATGCAGCCGGACGAGGTGCCCGTGACGAAGACGCGGGCGGCGTCGGCGCCGTACGCCGTCAGCGTGTGGCGGATCATGTTGGCGAGGCCCGTGCTGTCGCCGCCGCCGTCGTGCGTCAGGGACGCCGGCGTGGCGACGTCCCAGCAGTTGAAGTCGCGCCGGGACGACGGGTAGATGACAATGTAGTTGCGCGACGAGGCCTGCGTCGTGTAGTCGGCCTGCCGGGCGTAGCCCTGGCCGTTGCCGCCGCAACCGTGCAGGGCGAGGATGACGGCCGGCGACGGTCGGAGGTTGGCGGGGACGTGGACTTGCATCGTCAGACCGGTGGGGTTGGACCCGAAGTTGTTGATGGTCTGCAGCTGCTGGGCGGCGGCGCAGGAAGCGGCGAGGAGCCCGGCGAGGCCGTGGACGAGGCTGAAGGCGTGCATGTTGGCGCGGTAAGATAGAGGTCAGATAAGTTCGTGCTTGAGATGTCAGAATGAGAGCCTGAAAGCTTGTGTCTCTGTTGAATCGTTCTCAAGACTCATATCCTTTCATCATGATCGGTCCCATATTTATAGGGCTGACATTCATCCCTAAACATTCATCCCCGCACCTCGTGGATGATCTCTTCGAATTGACAGGGAATTGCCCCGTGGGGAGTCGGGTGCCTCGGCTGCACGTCGCCCGGCGCAGATCCTGCCGTGTTGCCTGATGAAGTCAAGATTCAGACCTCAAACGGTCAGGCGCCGCTTTTTCATGATTAACCAGATGGATCGCGGTCGGGGTCAGTGGTATTCTGGTGTTTTGCCAAAAATGTCAACTTGTTGGCAAGGAGAGGTGGTACGTCGGCAGTAGGCCTCGGGAGTTGATTCATGTTGCATCGAGGCCGCCGAGACGTGGTGATGTGCGGTCTTCAAGACTTGATTGGATCGCCTGGGTTGTTACCAGGCACCATGACACCCTCGTGCAGTCAGTCTACGGGATCTGCAGTTGCAATCGATATGACAGAATTGGGGATAAATCTCCTTTCATGCCCTACCAGTGAACGGTTGCCAAGTGAATGTCGCGCTGTCCACTTCTTTGTAGTACACAGTTGCCCACTTTCGTCACGGAAATGGGAGCATGAAGATGCAGAGACCAGTATCGGCTTCTGGCTCGTCTGTTGGGGGTTGAATGTGTTCATTGGGTATATGCTGGAGGCTGGATCTAGACACTACAGAGCAAGACAAGCTCAAAACATTTCTCTAAAGTGTTGGAACACGGTTGTCTCACTGGGTGTGAAGATATTTGTCGGAGCGCCTCCGGAGCTGGGAGTCGGTAAGCCGGCGCTCGGCGGACCGTTGTAGCCTTGCTCGGGACCAGCAAATCCTTTGACTGCCACGTAGCCTTCAAAAATCCGGCTCATCTCGCTCTGGATCCGCGTGCCGTTATTGGGGGATTGTGCATGCTCCATATGAGGGGTTGTCTGCTGCGTCTGGATCGGCGTCGTGGATGAAATTGACGGTCGGCCAAAGGGACTGATGGGCGTAGGACTCGTTGTCGAAAGTCGTCCCCCCGTGGCCAGACCAGCCATGGTCAGAGCTGCAGTGCTGTGCGGGTCGTCCTCCTGGCTATGTCTGAGGCCAATGCGAGGAGCCACCTCTTTCAACGATCCGATCGTCCGCCAGAGACGCTGCGAGACCCAGCTCTTGGCCGACAGGTCCTTCACGAGCTCTAGCGCCATGTAGAACTCGTCTCGGCAAGACGTACTGAAGCGTACGGGGGCGTGGACCGAGGCCAGAAACAGAACCGCTATCGCCGACGTGAGGAACTGGTGGTAAAAGACCTGCATCTTGCGATAGAGGTTGGTCGTGTTGTTCAGGTGGCTCAGGTAGCGGATCGTATCTTTGGCCAGATCAACGACTCGGTGGGCCTGCGGGAGGTTGCCCATGATGCTGGTGGCACTGTGCAGGATTGGCGTGTAGAGCCAAGTGCGGATCTGTGAGAGACGGGTCAGCAATCTTTGATGGCTTCATCATATCATGTGAGGCATACCTGATTCAGCCGAAGATATGTCCAAATACGAAGTCGTTGGAGATTATAGGATGGCGTTGCGGTCATCTGCTTCTCCTTGTCCCAATTGCGCAGCTTGACCTCCTCGGGAACACGCTCATACCACTGCAAGATCTCTTGATCGAGCTGCTCCATGTCTTGTTGCCTAAGCTCTCGTGCGAGAATAGGGCCAAAGTGGGCCACTTGTCGCCAGACTTTGGCACAGAGCCTGGAATATGTGATCATGGCAATGAGATATGGATACTCATCCTGTCAGGAGTAACGTCAGTGAATTACCCGAAGAGCATACTCGTAGAATTCAGCTTACCGGCATGGGGAGTTCAGAATCAATATCCTCATCCTGCACAACATATGGCAAGCCGGTACCAAAAGCCCAGCGGCGATCCAGCATGTATGCCGTCCAGAAGCTGTTGAGAGCATTCTTTCTCTCCTCCTCGTTGTGGATCTTCATGAGCCCAGTCCTCTGATGGATCCCCCATTCGAGACACAGCCTCGCAACCTGGCCCATGACGCGCCAGGCTAGAATCTCGTCATTGGACAGGAATCGGTACCCGGCGAGCAGGGCTAGCAGAGGCAGGTTGGCAAAGTCGCAGCCGTCAGCCATGAGCTTCCTGTTGACGATTGCCTCCATGCTGTCATAGAGGCGGGCAGCCCTCTCACTGTGACCATGTTCCTCCACGACCAGAGCGCAGCACATGAGCATTTTCAGCTGCAAAGTTGGCGTGTCCTCGAAATCGAGCGTCTCGCCCTGCTGCTTGGCCAACTCGATCGCGGCACAGAGGTTTCGCGCGTGGTCCATGACGGTCTGAATTTTGACGACGGGGTACATGATGCCGACTTCCTCCTCGTGCAGGCGGCACAGGCGGATAATCTCATCACGACCATACTCCCACAGCGGATCCGACCCAGCATTGGCCGAGGGCACACGGGGATTCGCATCTTCGGACGGCGCATGGTTGTCGCCTCCGTCTCCAATGCCTTTGTATCCCATGTTGTGAATCGTGTTATTGGCGACATCAAGGCTAAAGGCCATGCTCGTGGGGCCTCTGAAGGAAGGAGGTCTGGCATGGGCAATATCAGGCCGGTGGCTCGAGAGCGAGCTTGCCGGTGAAGCAGCCATGGTGCTGGAGGGCAGAGGAAGAATCTTGTCGTTGATTGGGGCGAGTCGCAGAGTTTCCGTGCGAAGAGTGTTCATACTTTGGTAGAGATTCTCAACCTGCTCTTGGAGATGGGTCATTTGGTCTGTCATCCGTCGGTACTCTTCCGAGTCCTTGAATGTGCTGGAGCAGCAGTTCGGCGCATAGAGACAGGCCAGATTGAGGTTGCCGCATCGTTGGCATGGTGTTTCTCCATTGCATTTGATCTTGCGTCGCTTGCATTCGTTGCTTCAGGGAGAAAGTCAGCCGGGGAAAGGGGGAACGGGTTGGGTGGCATCAATGAAAGGAAATGGCTCGTCCTCACCAAGCAATAGAGATGTACTACATGACACAGGTCAGTCATCAAGTCAGGGTGTTCATGCAGGGTCTCGTAATTGTTTGTAACATGACAGACAGGGCAAGGGGAGGGGGGCGGGTGGTAACATATTGTAAGGCAAGTTGTACAAGGTCATGATACAACATGAAGCGGCGAGACGGAAACAAGGACGACGACACACGACTTACTCTATTCCGTTTGCTCCGCTGCTGCTTTCCTCCTGCACCCTCGTCATCATCTGCCTTTCTCTTGGTACCGGCGGCAGGCGAAGCAAGACTGGCGACTTCGGACAGTCCCCCTCCCCCTGGTAGGTGGGCGGAATTGTCTCCGACGGACGCGGAAAGAGGTGAGTGCGTCGAATGATTTGGGTGATTGTGTGGAGAAAAGGCTGGGCCGCCTACGACGTTGGCCACGCTTATGCCTGTGCCTGTGCCGCCGTGGCCTTGACGGTCTGCAGGCAAGGGGACGGGTGCCTGGGTCAGGTAGCGCAGGTCGCTGACCTGCGTCTCGATCTGCTCCATGGCATTCGGTCTCGCTTCGGTCTCGCTGTTCTGCGACTGCGCGGCTGCGTCGGGATTGGGTCTTTGAGGTGAGGCCCTAGGAGAACGCAAAGGCGGGAGAGTGACGGTACTATAGCAGAGGCGCTCCTCTTCCGCTGTGCCTCAAGCGCCATGCCACGTGACCGGAGAGATAAGGAGCCGAGGCTGTTTACATAATCGTCCGTGGGTCCAGCATGGAATGCTCCGTCTTGGGATTGTCCTGTGTCTTGCAACTGATTAATCTCGTCTGCTCTAGCCATCGACTACCTGCTCACTATGAGAGTCAATATGACCGAGTCGAGCTGACGACAGACGTACAAGGCGCTTCTGATGCATCCCCTTGGACCAGGCCTGTAATGTTTAAGAGCACGGTCCAGCGGAATGTCGACCGCGATGGAGCTGGCCCAAGCTTGAGTGTTCTTGTAAGTCTTAGGTAATCTTTCAATGCATCTCGTCGAGTTTCTGTGTCAAAGTGGGGTTAGATTTCTGCCGGGTCTCACCACCAAAAAGTTCAGTAGCATGAATTTTTGGGTCCAGTTTGAGTACTGCGAAGCTGCATACACCACCAGTACGCTCATTCCAAATGGCCCGCCCGAAGCGATTCGAAGAGTTTGAGGAGAAGGCCGTCAAGGGTAAGATCTCTACACAAAGTTTCTTCAATCTTGCGTGCCTAACAAACCCCTGCAGACTACGATCCTGAAGCCGACTCGGCTGTCGACAACGACCAGAGCGGCAGCGGCAGCGGCAGCGAAGACGAGGGCGCAGATCTTGCCGGCACCGAACATTACCTCAACGTTGGGTATGTATCCTTGACGTCGTGGTCAATCGTTTATTCTGGAATGATGACAAGCAGCTAACCCCCTCCAGCAAGAGCAAGCTTCGCCAGAAGGAAAATGTCTCTCTCGGCCCCCAGTACCGTGGCACCCGTGTCAGCCGTCAGGCCCTCGAGGACAGCGACGAAGGCAGCGAAGACTTTGAAGATGCGCAGGAAGACTTCGACTCAGACGCCGAGGAGTACGACGACCCCGAGACGGCTGATCTAGCTGTCGACCAGGCCAGGGCCGACGAGGATGCCGAGATCAGCAGCGACGATGCGCTCGGTGACAGCGACGATGAAAAGCTCGGCAAGTTTGTCTTCCGAGGCAGCTCAAAACCTCATGAAGGCAAGGATAAGAAGGGCAGGAAGAAGAGCCCGACGGCGGTGGACTTCATCTCCGGCTCCGAGGACGAGCAAGTCGAAGAACAAGATGACGACAGCGACGCTTCCGGCGGCGTCGACCTTGTGGACGTCGAGGCCGAGGAGGAGTCTGGCGAGTCTGGCAGCGGCGACGAGGATGAGGACGAGGAAGACGAAGACGAAGAGGGCGACTCTGATCTTGACGGCTTTATCAACGACGATTCAGACCTCGAAGACGAGGACGAGGACGATGAGGACGCCTCGGGCTCAGAAGACGACGACGAAGGCGAAGACGACGATGCCCCAAAACTGAACAAGTCATCCCGCGCCGCCGACGCCCGTGCCGAGCAGCGCAAGCTCATGAACGAAGGGCAAAAGGCCCTCGTCGCCACCATTTCGGCCGCCGTCCAACAAGACGCCGCCAAGGGCCTCGCCGTTCGCCAGCAGCGCAAGACCTTTGACGGCCTGCTCAACATCCGCATCCGCCTGCAGAAAGCCCTTGTCGCGACAAACTCCTTTTCCGCTTTCGATGCCGTCGGCGACGACGACGCGGAGCCGTACTCGGCCGCCGAGGAAGCCGCGCTCAAGCTCCTCGGCACGCTCGACAGCGTCCGCGCCACGCTCGTCCCCAGCGCCTCCACACCCCCCTCGTCTTCGACGCCCGACAAGAAGCGCAAGCGCGACACCTCGACCGAGGCACTCTGGGCCGTGCTCCAGGAAACAGATGCCCGCGCCGCCAAGCACCGGCGCAAGGTCCTCGACACGTGGTCTTCCAAGACGCGCAACGCGACCGTCGAGGTCAAGTCGCGCAACCTCATCTCGTCGCAGCAGTCGCTCGTCGCGTCCCTCGAGGACCAGCTCCTCAACTCGGACCGCCTTATCAAGCGCGCGCGCACGCCGCGCTCGTGCGCCCCCGTCCAGGTCGCAGCCAAGGTCAACGAGGACGCCTCGGTGTATGACGATGCGGACTTTTACCAGCTCCTGCTCAAGGAGCTCGTGGAGCAGAGGACATCCGACGAGACGGCGGCGCAGGCGAGCGGCGGCGCGCTGGCGACGGTCAGGTGGGCTGCCATGAAGGAGGCGAGGACGAAGAAGCACGTGGACAGGCGGGCGAGCAAGGGGAGGAAGATGCGGTTCAACATCCACGAGAAGCTGCAAAACTTCATGGCGCCAGAGGATCGAAGGGCGTGGGAGCAAGAAGCCATCGACCGGTTGTTCGGCACCCTGTTCGGGCAGAGAATGGTGCTGGCCGAAGCCGAGGGTGAGGATGAGGAGATGGAAGACGGCAATGCAGAGGAGGAGGGGCTCAGGTTGTTCAGGAGCTAGGCCCCGGTGCAGTAGACCAATACCAGTCATTTTGGGTTCTCTCCTTCTTTCGAGGCGCGCGCATTCTGTATGCTATCGTCGCAGGTGGTACATTTCTTTGGTCAAGTGTACAGGTTTGCCATGATCCGTTCTTGTGTTGCAGTCATTGTCGTCGGCCCGCGGCAAAAGATTACAAGCCGACACTATCACAGAAGAGCAGACCCGATGAACAGCAGGCACAAACCCCAATGCACCCCTAGATGGACCACTGGCCCTCCAAGCGTCTTCTTCTGCTGCGCTTCTCTCCCTCCATTACCAGACGTCATCCTCACCCAGGCCCTCCAGCATGGCCAGAGATGCCAAAACGCCAACGAAGCAGCAGCCCATCGCGCAAGCCCCTCGACGCCAGGACCCACGAGCACACCGATACAGAGCAAGGCTGTGGTCAACAACAGGCCGCCGACCAGCTGGCACACCAAGACAGCGGCCTCCGATGGGGATGCAATCTGGGTGTCAGGACGCAGGATGAACTGCCGGGCAGCCAGTACTTCAACGGGGATATGGAGGAGGAAGGGCAACTTGGCAAGCAGCATGATCGGGCGGTCGGTCGTGTTCGGGTCGGGTGACACGCGCGGCCTACGATAAGCGGGATCTCGAGAAAGAAGGAATGTGTTATGGAAGGTGGCTTGTGGCTGAGTCTGTCAGTTGCGCTGCGCTTGTTCGTAACGAGACGGTGATCGGCCATTAGAGGTGGACGCACTTCTGTGCCGGCGGGGTGAATCCAAAGCCGAATCGGGGGTTTCAGAAATTCTTGAGACGTTCGGATCAGGCTGCCTACCTAGAGTTTGTTTTATTTTCCGTGATGCACCGACATGGAATGTCAATTCAAGCTCAAGCTTCATCTTCTCGGCGTCGGCTGGCTCGAACCTGTGACACCTGTAACCGGAACCTTACTGTTCCTGCCCCTCGCCTCGTCAGGTCATCAGCAGGAGTGAGGAGGGGCGGCCAGCAACAGGGGCGTGTCCACCCAATCAGACTGACGAAATCCCATCGTCATCACTCTCCAGCGCCTGCAGGTGCCTGGAAGCTCTCGCCTGCAGGTGCCTGGAAGCTGTCGCCTGCCCTGGCAGCTCAGCTCGCTGACTGTGTACACCACCACCTCCCCACCACCACCACCCATCGCCAGGTACCGAAACGTCGACCCGACAGGCGGCAATCATGATGCACCGCTTCCATCATCGTCGCCCACCCTGCCCTGCTTCTGCTTGGTATAGCCTCTTGTTCAGTACTGGCCTAGCACCTAGGTAATTAGCACCTAGGTAATTAGGTACCTCAGTGAGGACAATGGGCCAGGTAATCGGACGCTGGAGCAATGAATCCGTCCGTACCCACCAATTATAGCCCCCTTGCCACGGTCACAGTACGCCTGTCCATTGGTCGAGGAACTGGCTCGGCGGCTGTCCGTCTTTTGTTGAGCTTCGAGTTGTCGTCGTCTTGCCCCTGAGGACCTTCTCCTTTCCTCCAGGTCCCTACCTACCTAGCTACCAAGGCTACCTATAGGCCCGGACGAAGCTTTGCGGCCGGGTCGTCATGCTGCATAGCATCGTAACTAGCAGACAAACAAGTTGACCGCCTTTTCTGCCCTCACCAATCGTTGCTCGCCCGTCTTGACCTGTGCCGAATCCTAGCGCATCTCTTGGCCCCCAGTGATATCGGCATCATCATCGCCAATTCTCTATCTGCAAGCTATCGAAAAGCGCCAGCTTTTGCATGTGTGCCGTGCCCCCCATTGCATTGTCTCACTGTTCGCTCCCTGTCACCGTTTCAGCTTTCCTTGTTTTGGTCATCCATTTGACTTTGGACCAAACATAGCTCCCACATACATCGCCTGCCATCCCATTTTCGTGTTTTTTTTTTCTTTCTGAATCTAGACCGACCAACCTCAGACCGTGTTCTAGCTCTACAATCGAGCCTTTCCTCGTAGCTCTTGACACCATCGGGAGCTACCCCTCCCCCACCTCCCCTCAGTCCCCTCGCTCCAGCGCACAACGATTCGCGCCGCCACGCGCCGCCATGACCTCCTCAAACTCCTTTGGAGACTTGGGTCTTTCCATTATCGGCGTGGGAACCCAGTACCCGCCTCATGCGCTGGACCAGAACTGTCTCGACGTCCTGGCTGCGCGATTCTACCCCGAATCACCAGCGTACGTACTCTTCCTGTCGGGGGGATCACCCACCACCCTTCTGGTGTCTCACTGACTCGTGGCCGCCCGCCATAGTATGAAAAAGATGCTCTCGATCAACCGCTTCACAGGAATTGACGCGCGGTCATCAATCGGAACACCAGACCACCCAATCGTCAACCGAAAGCAGGCCCCCTCGATCACGGACCTCCACGAAGTTTTCGTCAGCGAAGGCATTCCCCTCTCGGTGAGCGCCGGCCGCAAGGCCCTCGACGAGGCCGGCATCGACCCTGCCCAGATCACGCACATTGTCGCGACAACCTGCACGGACAGCGCAAATCCGGGGTTCGACCACTATGTCGCCAAGCAGCTCGGCATCACCCACAATGTCGAAAAGGTCCTCTTGCACGGCATCGGCTGCAGTGGCGGCCTCGCCACGCTGCGCACCGCCGCCAACCTGGCGCTGGGGCACACGGCCCGCGGCAAGCCGGCGCGCATCCTGTGCCTCGCCCTGGAAGTGAGCACGACCATGGTGCGCAGCGAGATGGACAGCATCAACGAGTCACAGGACACCAGGATAGGCATCGCCTTGTTCTCCGACTGCGGCAGTGCCGTCGTGCTGAGCAACGGGATTGGACCGCCGACGGAGCCTGTGTACGACCTGCTGGGCTGGGAGCACAGGATCATCCCCAACTCGGACAAGGATCTCGGGTTCGACGTTGACGTCTCAGGTATGTTCACGCGGAAGACTTTCCCTCGGCCAACGCGCGAATTGCTAACACGGATCGCAGGCTGGAAGGTGGTTCTGTCCCCTCGCGTCCCGCGCTCGCGTCGTCGGTCATGGCGCCAACGTTTGCAGATCTGCTGGCCTCCGTGCCGTCACTGCCAGCCGAGTACCAGAAAGCCGACGACTTTGACTGGGCCATGCACCCTGGCGGCGCCACCATTCTGACGGGGGCCGAGAAGGCCATGGGCATCTCGTCCGAGCACATGCGCGCGAGCTACGACACCTACATCAACCACGGCAACTCGAGCTCGGCGACCATCTTCAGCGTCCTCGACCGGTTGCGAAGCAAAGACATGGACGCGCTGGCGCCGGGTGGGCGGGTTCGGGACTTTGTCGTCGGTTGCGCCTTCGGCCCCGGCATCACGGCAGAGATGTGCATGCTGAAGCGCAACCGGGGCGTGCAGGGTGTCACAGGCTTGCTGACGCCACCGGAGACGGAGAGCGAGGGAGGCCGCAGCGATGCTGGGGACGATATCGAAAGTCCGGCGGCGGCAGCACCGCAGGCGACTGGCGAGGCGTTTGTCGCGGAAGCATTGGAGCAACTGGACCTCGATTGAGCCCGCGTTGTGCTTTACAAGGTCAGGAAGGCAGGCAAGGCGTTGGAGGTTTTTCTTTTTTTTTGTCCTGTACGTATGTCAGAGCAACAGTCAGCATTTGTAGGGTGGGGATGCCCGCCGGAGAAGCAATGATGAAAGCAATGAAGAAAATGACACGACGGGGTCCTGTCCGTTGCTCCTCAGACTCTGCCACAATGGCCAGATGCCTCTGGGTATCAGAAGCCAGCCGGCATGTCCCCTTGGCGGGGGCGAATTTGCCCGCGGATGCCAGACGGAAACTTCACGATGCGGCTGGCGCAGAGGCCAACGGCCAAAGATTCTCCGGAAAACGAGCCCCTCCAAACCCCAGAACCTGGGGTCGCGCCCCTTGATCAACCGAGGAAGCCCGAGACTCGGGACGTTGCCGCTGGTCGACATTGGACAAACCCGATCGCCCCGATGGCAGAGTCCCCGCCAGTTCGCTGACGATTGAAGGCTAGAAAGCCGCGTCCCGGCATACCGAAGTGCATGGGGGGGAACCCGTCTTCCGCATCTTTCCGTCGCCCATCGGCAATGCCTTGGACCTAGAGCATGCGAGGATCTCCTCCCACGATTTCGTTCGGGTGCTTCATTGGCCGAGATGCTGCTGTAAAGGGGCACCGCCGGCTCGATGCGGTAACTGGGTGTGTTTTTGTTTGTCCATGCTGGCCCGTTGCTTGGACTGTCGTCAGATCCGAAACATCGTGACATTCGCACCCGGGCGCCGAGCGACGTCTCGAGTAGACCCCATGCCCCCTTGGGTTCTCGCCTACCCTTGCCGGGGCCAAATACACAACACTGGGCTCGCTATGATGCCCAAGA